GATGCTGCTGCTGCTGCTGTGCTGCTGCTGTGGGCCCTTGTGGCTGACAGGTACAGTATGGCACAGCACTTTAATGCTACATTAACAAAGACGAAAAGTTACGTGCTTGTGTGTGAGGGTGGAGTCTTGGCACAGAGAGGACGAACAGCTTTAGGGTTCCTTGGGTGTAGAGTATTTTAAAGGACTATGTTAATGCAAGTTGACTGCTGCTGCCAGGGCTTAATGTTGAATGCGGTTTGATGAAGCGGCTTTGACTGCTGAAACCAGGCAGACTCACTGTAATTCTGGCACAGGGTGTGTGTGTGGCACAAGCTGAAAAGCATATAGTGCAATATTTCAATGTCTATCTGATGTAATTGGTATGACAGACACTTGTTTAATTGTATGCTAATCTAATTCAGCTCTTATTGTGCATTCAGTGGCTATTTCCTCCAGTAATTTCCTAATCTGCAAATGACACTGACATAATTATGCCTTGCCTCAATAAAACCTGCCTGTTTATCTCTATGCATGCATGCTTGTAGCTTTGTATCTAATTAAGTCATTTGTTTTTCCAGGAGCTCAATGCAGTCTCCTTGTAAATTATTAGTTTTAAATATAACTTCCATTGTGATCCATGTGAAGGAGGCTGCTAAAAAGGAATTGAATCAGTGGGTTGTAGTACTAAACGTGAGTGTCTCTCCATACAGGCGTACACTGTGAGGTGGACATTAACGAGTGTGACAGCAATCCCTGCCAGAATGGTGCCATGTGCAAAGACGCTGCCAACTCTTATTGGTGTGACTGCCCCGTGTCGGAGCCCGGCCAGGAGCCCTGGGGTGGGCGAGACTGTGACATCCTTTTGGTGGGCTGCCAACAGCACCAGTGTCAACACGGAGCAGGTTGCGTCCCCATGCTGACTGACGATGGAGAGCACAGCTATACCTGCCTGTGTCCGTCTGGTTGGACTGGAGAACTCTGCAACACCTCAACCACCTTCTCCTTCAACTCCGAGGGCTACGTCCACATGCAGCTGCCTGTTTCCAAAAACAGGACGAAGCGAGAGACTAAAGACCACACTCATGGGCTCCACATGCAGCTCAGATTTAAAAGCACTTTGCCCGACATGGTGCTGTACTACCGGGGAACCATGGAGCGCTTCGTCTCTCTGGAGCTTGTCGGAGGCTCCCTCCAGGCCAGGGTGAAGTCAGGGAAGGTCCTGCAGGTCACTTACCCTGGCCTAGTCAATGACGGAGAATGGCACCAAGTCACTGTAACTATGGATGAGAGGCTGGTCCTGGTTGTAAAAGGCCCCAGCTGTCAGGAAGAATGCCAGGTGAAGAATGAGGCTTACAACCATCTGATCTTCGTCCAGCCCAGCTCCTTTCACCAGCTTTATGTCGGAGGGGCACCGCAGGAATATTTAGCTCGTACGTCCAGTGGAAGGGGGTTCATTGGCTGCATGGAAGACTTTCAAGTGGACCATAAGTTGCTTCTGCCTCAGGACCTAATCAGAGAGGAGAACCAGGGCTTGGAAATGGGATGCAGCAAAAGAAACTGGTGTCAGGAAGACCCATGCATGCAACGTGGGCAATGTTTAGACATGTGGGTTCGTGCCAGCTGTATGTGTCATAGGCCCTACTATGGAGAAAGCTGTGAGAAAGGTGAGAGTACTTACAGTTTGCAGGAATGCCCTCTACTTTTACAGCAAAAACACTAGCCACTGGATAGATTACTATGTGGTTACTGACCAGGGCTTCTCAACGTGGGGGGTTTGCAAAACTATGTGTAGGAGAAACTGTTGTAATGCTTCTGTAGGTCGGATTCTTAACTTGCAAATTTTGCATCCCACCTAAAGCGATAGTCCTGTTTTTTGGTGAGGGTAACACACAAAAAAGAATGAATGAATTGAATTAAATCTGAACTCCCTCCTAATTAGCACTCAGCAAACACATGGTCCAGACAAAGCTGGATGAATCAAAGTCTGAGTTTCTTTACCTTCTCCACTTTATAGTAGGGTTAGCTCTTACTGCTGTTTGGGGCTTATATCATGCAAAAGTACAAGTACAAATAAACAGTTATCTTTATTGGGTTGACAGTACACAACATACATGAAAAGTATGACTTGTCACCCAGCTTTACATCGTTACACCTACAGAAACAGAATGCAAACCAAGCT